AGGAGTTAATATTGTCACGGGGTCGTGACGTGGCCGAAAACAGGATACTTTGTGTTGGGATTTAACAGTTTATTTGGGCGAACCTGTGCCCGGCAAACGGAAAGTCCGATTACAGTAGCAGCAGTCTTGCACAGATAGCAGTGAACGCAGCGTCGGCCGTCGATTAACTACTGACAAGCGGCGAAGCGCGTCTGCATTTATACTCTTGCCGTCGAATGTTCTAGCGTTATCGCTGGCGGTGGCGTACGTTCCAGAATAATCTGTACAGTTCGCAGAGTAGGCGTGATCTTATCGAAATGATCTACTACAGTCCGGAAGCTTCTCGAAAACTGCACACGCGGTTTGCGCTGAGAATTGTGTATTGTTTTGGGACGATAACAAAACTTGGGAAATGGAACGTGGCATTGCCCCCCTCTGAAAAAGGCATCGTCCCGATGCTTTAACTAAAGACGAAGGTACAACAATGATGCAAGAAAGTACAATGAATAAATAACGATACAATAATAATACAAAAAAACACTGTTTCAGTTTGTTAACGCGCATGAAACGGCTTGAGGCGCGCGACATGGACGACTTCAGCCCGCGATCGGCGTCGTTGAGAGTTCGTGATGCCGTCGGGAACAACCTCGTAATCAAGTGGGCCGAGACGTCGAACCACCCTGTACGGTCCGAAGTACTGTCGCAGAAGCTTTTCACTTAGTCCACGTCGGCTTATCGGCGTCCACACCCAAACACGTTCACTGGGCTGGTATTCCACGAAGCGTCGTCGAAGATTGTAACGGCGGCTGTCGGTCATCTGTTGATTCTTGATACGGAGACGCGCGAGTTGTCGGGCTTCTTCGGCGCGTTGAAGGTACTTACTCACATAGAAGTTTTCTTCGTTGGTGACATTGGGTAACATGGCATCGAGCGTCGTTGCCGGGCTCCTTCTGTAGACCAATTTGTATGGAGATATCTGCGACGTCTCCTGCACCGCCATGTTGTATGCGAAGGTCACGTACGGAAGAATGGCGTCCCAAGTCTTGTGTTCGACATCGACGTGCATTGCCAGCATGTGGGCGATCGTCTTGTTTAGCCGCTCGGTGAGGCCGTTGGTGTGTGGGTGGTACGCTGTCGTCCGGCGGTGGTTTGTCTGGCTGTATGCCAAGATCGCTTGAGTTAGGTCAGCAGTAAATGCCGTTCCTCTGTCGGTGATAAGGACCTCCGGGGCGCCGTGACGTAGGACGATATTTTTGACGAAGAACTTAGCTACCCCGGATGCACTGCCTTTTGGCAGGGCTTTTGTCTCGGCGTAGTGAGTGAGGTAGTCGGTAGCTACCACGATCCATTTGTTTCCAAAAGCCGAAGTTGGGAACGGTTCCAGTAGGTCCATACCAATCTGCTGGAAAGGTCGGCGAGGTGGTTCAATTGGCTGCAGAAGTCCCGCCGGCCTTGTCGGTGGTGTCTTGCGTCATTGACAGTCCCGGCATGTCCTCGCGTAACGAGTGACGTCGGTGGTAAGACGTGGCCAATAGTACCTTTCTTGTATCCTCGCGAGCGTGCGAGAAACACCGAGGTGCCCTGCCGTCGGATCGTCGTGCAGGGCCTGCAGGAGTTCTGGTCGCAGAGCTGAAGGCACCGCAAGGAGGTACTTAGCTCGAAGCGGCGAAAAGTTTTTCTTTTGTAGAAGACCGTTTCGTAGAAAGAACGATGCAAGTGCGCGCTTGAATACCTTCGGGACTTCGGCGGTCCTGCCTTCGAGGTATTCTATTAGGGCCTTAAGTTCCGGGTCGGCCCGCTGTCGTTCAGCAAAGTCGTCTGTAGTTATCGTTCCCAAGAAGTAGTCGTCATCCGGGTCGTCGGGTGGTGGTTGGTCGACAGGCGCACGAGAGAGACAGTCGGCGTTGGAGTGTACCGACAAATGGGACTGTCGGTACACTAGTAGATCATCGAAATGATCTACTACAGTCCGGAAGCTTCTCGAAAACTGCAGGCACGGTTTGCGCTGAGAATTGTGTAGTGTTTTGGGATGATAACAAAACTTGGGAAATGGAACGTGGCGTTATGAAACGTTTATTACGTTATTATGATCGATTAGCCACTCCAGAAAACGCTCCATGTGCTGGCAACAGTGGTCGAAAAAACAAAGGTGGTTGAGCTTAACAGGGTGAATACAGCATTTTTGCTTGGCCCTGTGTTGAAGTTTCTTGATTTTGAATCGCTTTGCTTCGTCAAAGGTGAAAGGTTGCTGGCTGCCTCATTCTCATCGGCATAAAGGATTTTACTCTCCAAACAGCCGAAATAGTGGCACTGTACACGTAAAAATTGAGTATCTTCGATAAACTGCATCAGAATTACTTCAAGTAGAAGCTATCTAGCGAGTATGAGGTTGAAGAAGGCAACTGCTCATGTGCAGTGGGCCTCTCTGAAAGCTGCTAGCACTTTTGCGCTGCATGCAACAGTGCTATAGGTAAGGCCTTAACAGTTTCCAAGGTAATTATGCTGTGACTTGTGCTGCCGATCATATGTGTCCCACCGCGTTCTCTTGTCTCGTCAAAAGCAGAATACGCATGTCGTTTACTTGATCACAGAATGGAGCTACGCCTGGGCCAGTGTGTCTCGAGATAAGGTAAATCGTTGTTTTGATTGTAATAGAAGTGCTCCTTTCTTTTTGTTCGTGATTCATGTTAACTTCTAATGAATAAGGTCGTGTGCTTCCGAACACTCGCTTGTTTGTGTTGGCAATAGGTGATATTCGAAACAGATACATGCACGCACACTACGCATGCTACGAATGCACGGACATGATATAAATATAAATAAATATATATACATACAAACATACGTACATGCACGCTATGCATGCAAAAACCTCGCACTTGCATTTGTATGCAAGCATATTCACACATTCGAAGTCAAAAACTTTCGGGGGAAAGCATTACAGCAGCTTAATTTGAGATTGAATAGCACTATGCCTTGCACAAAAGCATATGCAAGAAATACAGTCGCACATGTATATCGAAAAATTTTCTAAAACCGAATGCTTTAATAAACGAAAGTATACTCTGTGCTTAGAGAAGCCAGAATGTTGATTAGAATGAACACATGCTAAATAACGGTGTACTCACGAGGAGAATTAAGTCGTCATGAGCGAACTGATTAGAACTCACTACCGTAGTGTCCTTCACCTTCTTTCAAATGCATAAGTTTCTGATTGGTGCCGTTCTCTGTCGTGCATCGCCTGCATCCTTCAAGAAGTGATACAACGATGCGTTGCCATGTTTCCTTTGTGATGCCACTCATTGCGGCACACTGCATTGGTCTTTGGACATAACTTTCTTCTCTTTTAAGCTCGATGTGTGGCTTGGCGAAAATAAAGGAACTATGCAGCTGCTTCTCAATGCATGCAACCTGGTGACATGTCTCCTTTTAAGGTTGGCCCTGTTAGCGCTGCTTCCTGGTGCGGCCGCTAGGTGGTGAGCGCTTAGTTGGAGTCCCAAATAGTGAACACTCCAACAACAGTTGACGTTGCGTGATATGTTGTAGGGTCTTTCTCGTAAGCTGTCTTATGCAGTGGCATAGCTCTATGGTAGAATACATGACTACCACGCAGAATGTGTAGGCTTGATTTGAGCTGTAACCATGATTCTCATTCTTTCCGTCCTTCTGATTTTTCCCCCATCTACATCACTAACCACGCCTGCCCCACATTTTCTGTGGCACAAGCTCCATAACGCAATCGCGGGAATATTTTTTGAAATTTTGTCATTGCTGTCCTAATTCGATACAAAGTGTGAATCACCTCTGGCTCATACCCGCATTCCGTGGGGTGCGCATATGTGCCACACATAACTGAATAAAAAGATTTCATGACGTACGCGACAAGTATCTCATAGTACTCATTAAATTATCTATTCATAGTGTTCGTAATACACTAATGCCCTCTCGTGCAGATTTCGGTACATATAAAGTTAAAGACGCGACCACGAAATTGCCCAGTAGGAGCTGGCTACACAAATGTAGAGCTATGTAGATAGGAACGCTCAAAGTGCCTGCAGTTGGCTAAGAAATACTTCGCATTTAATATTATAAATACAGTTTAACAACAATGTACCGCTTCCATTAAGTTTTACAAATTACGCCCATAGAACACCATGCATTATGTACCTCAATACTATAACAAAGCGTGCCTATGAGTGGTTTCAATATAACGAAGTTTTAGAATAATTATGTGAATTTGTAATTTTATTGACTTAGTTATGATATTTAAGTACCTTGGGCACTCTTTTTGGTGTCAGTTCCATAATTGGAAAGCCTTCAAGTTGGCTGCACTGCTCTTTCAGGAGCTTTTTATATAAAAATATTTTTGCTCAGCTAAATATTTTTAGCACCACCTTTAAACTACTCATTTGCTTCATCTTTGTTAGATCAATAATTAGAAATTTTATTTTTATCCTTTTGTTAATTATGCACATTATTGCCGGTCTAGGCACTCTTATGGCAACAATGTCACCGTAATTTGTCTTATTTTAAATGTTTTGTCCATCTCATTCATCTATTGAGAAACACCCAGTATTTCACACATAAACATACTTGCATTGTTGTCAGTACAGTGACTGTGAATACTCTGGGGTGCCAGAAATTCAAAACCTAAGCTTTCCTTGCTCATGGTGCTCAGTTTTGGCATCAGCACTTAAAATGAACAGGGCACAGGACTGTATACCGTACCTCTAATTACCCAACTGTGTGCCAAGTCTTTGCAGCAGTTTATCTTTTTTATATCCTGTGCCCTGTTGTGATGATGTCATATTCTTCTGAAACAGATTGTGATAGTAGGTTATGCTGCTTTTCAAAATCTGCAGAACCATACTGTAGTTAGTGTGCTTGGACCTTATGGGATGCCTTGAGAATGTGCTATAATTGGATGAAATTGAAGCATTTGGGATGACTTTTTCTTAAGCTATCTGTTGATGGCAGGCATTTATTGTGGCCATTCACAGTGTTATGCTTATTTTCTCTAGAAACTGGTGGCCTTTTTGGACTGGCTGTGCGGCTTATGCAACTTTTTAGTGAAAACAAGAGGTAAGACATAGCCTAGTTGTTTGCCCAATGATGAGGTAGGCGTTTAAGTTGTTTTACAGTGAAGTTGTATATGCCTAAGGGATTTGTCTGTTCATGTACAGAAAGCCCTAGTGCCCTCCAGGCAGCAATGGAAGAATTGCTTGTATTGAAGCATTAAAGTCGAACACCTGGCACCCTCTATGAAGTGCTAGAAGGAACTAATTCATTAGAATAGAATAAAAAAAGATTGTTGCCAATGCTGGCATTTGAACCGAGGCCCCAACTCTCCGAAGGCGAGTGTGCTTACTGTTAAAGAACACACCCATCTTCGCAAAATTCGAATATAGCTGACCCATATGAATTCCTTTTATTTTCTGCCACTTTGGTTAGGATTCTAAGAATGCAAACAATAAGCAACACTGGTAATGTCAGCAGTGCAAACAGCTGTCTTGGCTCAACAGCAAAAATAACAAGAACTACCTAGGGCCTTCATATTTGCATTCGTTATACTGGCCTTGGAAGGACGTCCTCGCAGTGTTGCATTTGTGTTCCGAGGTCAAGGCAAGTCCTGCGATTTTTTTTTGAGACCAGTGGATCTCAAATTTTCTGGGTACATTCTATTGAACATTACTGTCATTTTTGCCAAATTACTGGCTGGAGAGATTAGAAGATTCTGTATTAATGAAATTTATTGATTGCCCAGACTCTCACAACTGTCGGCAGCATTGTGTGATATCATTCAGTGCAAAACAACAGAAGTGACGGAATCAAGGTGCCAATAAAGCATATGCTGTACACTAGGCAACAATCGTATGTTTGGTAAACACATCATTCGTTGGGCAAGCGAATTTCAGTTCTTTGAGGGCATGCGTGCAATGGGTGGTAAATGGTGTCATGCTGTGGGCTCCACACAGTTATCCTTAACAGTCACGAAACACTCACAGTCAACAATTACCCTGTGTCTTCATAGTAGAGTGTCTTAGCTGGCAGTGCCGGTTTGCCACTTGTAAAGTATGATAATGCCAAACTGGCTGAAGAGTGTACATGTACGAACATTACTTTACAGAAACACTTTCCATCCTCCGTGACTGGGTCAATCTTTATTATTATGTGTTGTGTGCAAGATGGCTCGTACATGGCTTATACTAAATTTCGCTGACCCTACTGTCGTGATGTCAAACGCCGTTATCTACAAACTTATGCATTCTTCTCGGAGCTATCTTTAACAGCTTTAGTTTGCAAACTTCCCAAGAGTCGACATTTTACACAATCGCAACAGCCACAAACTTGACCGCCTGGACAGATGATGCCATCTAGCTGGGAAATGCCCAACCAGGAGAGCACATACCTAAGCAGGTGTGTCCAACTTCGTTGTAAAGGAAGGGCAATTCTAGTTGGCCTCCAGATGCATTCAAACTGCAGCTGTCATTGAGAGCTCAAAAGAGCCTGTGCACGTGGCACAGGCAGTCGCAGATGTGGTACTGCTGTTGCAGCGCTAAGAGAGAGCTTTTCGCCGAGAGTCAGCTCTTTGCTGCTTTTGCAGCTCTCATACTCCCTGCTGGTGGAACCTGCATGCTTTGCATGATTTTTGGTTTTTACTACTTTTACTTGATGCAAAAAAACAATTGCTCTATTGGGTTTCGGTTTCTGTGCTGCATTTTTTCCTTACTGAAAATTATTGTCCAATTTCTCGAGTGTGTATACTATCACACCTGTAACAGGAGCATCTCGGAAGCATTGAAGCATCATTGAAGCATTACTGGTTTAGTTGGCCTTTAAAAACCAACTCCAGCAATTTTTTCACAATATAAGAGTAATCATGCTTTTATACTCCCGAGACACTCTTGTCAAATTCCCGATAGCTGAAAATGCTCAGCCACTTCAAGAATAATTTTAATAACCAAAAAGGCATAATACCGAAACTGAAACCCAAATGAGTGTACAGTCTACACATGACGTACTATTTGGTAAGAACCGAAAATGTTGAAAGGCATGCCGGTCCTGCTAGCACAGAGTTGGAAAACTCTTAAAACCGGGAAGAGCAGAGGCTCCAAGGATAGGTGACCATGCTGCGCTATGTCTGTGACTAATTATTTTATGTGCACAAGCTCTCCAAAGCTGTCAGACAATGACAGCTGCAATTTGGATGCATTTAAAGGTCAACAAGCATCGCTGTTTTTCTTTGATTAAGTAGAACATGTTTTCCTTGCTTGCCTTATTGCGCATAACATCGACGTTTAGTACCACTTGTCCAGGCCATCCAAGTTTGTGGCTGGGGCGATGGGCTAAAATGTATAATTAAGCTCGTGTCAAGAAGTTCAGCCTCAAACTAGGACTTGAATATTGTCGTGGAAAGAGGGCATAAGTTTGTCAATTACAGTATGACTTCAGTTATATAATTATTAATATCAGCCAAGTTAGTTGAATTCCTTTAAATGAGACACTGATGTAAGAGACAAATGAGTATGAGAGACACCAGTGTGCCAACATTGAAATAGGTGTTGATAAGAAAAGCCATAATGTGGCATCCTGCTTATAAGAGACACTTCATATAAAAGACAAGAATTGCTCCCTGGTGCATGTCTTTTATAGAGGGGTTCAACTGTGGCTTTCTCGTGATGTGCAGCTTACCATACAGCCGTAGAGACAGTCACACTGTATCCAGACTTTATTACGGAAAGTACGTTGATATTTCCTGTATGCGCATAATTTAACAGGCACGATATTAACCGTACTTTTCGTGCGGTAAGCCGGCAGCGCTAACTAAAACACCCTACGGTCAAGGTGAAGTGTAGTCGACAGCTGCGAGTTTTTAGTGATTGTTATCGTATGCCGCCGCCCACAACGCAATGCCACTTGCCACCCATCGTACACCCACCCATAAGAAAAACAAAATTGCAAGTTCAAAAAAGGATGTGCTGGCAAAACACACACGATCCACAGCAGACAAGCAGACACTGCAGTGGCACCTAAATTCCATCACTTCCGTCGCCTTGCAGAGCTTGACATCACACAATGTTGCCAATAAATCTGGCAAGCTAGGTTAGCAATTCTTGTCAATCTATAAAATTAATTTGAAAACAATCTGTGAAACTTTTTTGCAATCTATAAGATTAATTTGAAAACAATCTGTGAAACTCTTGGGTCTGTAATGTGGCATAGCTGGGGTGAATGTGCAAACAAATGCACCAAGTGAACTTCATTGAGATCCCTTGGCGACGAAAAATCTCCGGAGTTGGCCTTCAAGAAACTTTGGTCTTTGTGTGTTGTGTTGAAGCCGACCCAAAACCTCAACGTCAGTGTCATCATTGCGTCGCAACAGACTCTGCACAGTGGTTTGAATGTTGATGGGCACGTTCACAGCTTGGCCTTTCTTACCAAACTGGCCCCTCCCATGTTGCCTCTAAGCAGTGTGCTACACAGCTTCGCTGGTCATCCACCTTCACCCAGCAGAGTGGCTCCTAAATTTTTTTCTTGGGAACCACTGCGCCTCGCTGAATGAATTTTATTGGATTTAATAAAAGAAGTTAACATGCAATGAGAGTAGGAAGCAGAATTTTCATTTAGGCCAATAATTTCTTACAAAAACTTTTTGAAACTGAAAATCCAGGAAAAAAAGAAAACAGTATCAAGTTCACAAGTTTTAACTTGTCACTAAAAAACCCTGTCACAATTATGTAAGCTAGTAGATGAAATTGATGAAAATTCACTCTATATCACTAATTTACATAAACAGTACTGTGAGAAAATCATCACTAATTTAACAGTTTCGTGTAAGCTTATCTCTTTTTTGTCTGCTTCATTAAGCAACATTAGTTGATGAAATGACGATATGTCTTTGATGACAAATTAGGAAATTCGTAAGCCTTATACCTTTCTTTTTTAAAGATTATCGACAGTTCTTTAAATCTGACATACTAAATGGAAATTTGCATGCTATAATTCCTAAAAATTAATTCTCCCTCCTTATAGTAATAGATTTTTTCGGCTTTATGCTACAGTTGTCTTGTGAAATCACTGTTGTGCTTTATATCTCCCATTGGCATCAAATGAAACCTGACCAGCTGCAAGCATTAGCAATGGTATAGTGCGCTCTGTTCAGTCATCGCCACGGACATGAGCGGTGCTGCCTTATTAGAGTGGTGTAAACTGAACGGTGTGCACTATTAGTCCTAAGAACCGTAGTTTCCTATCCTAAATATGCACTAGAGTGACCTCTGGAGTTAGTGTCTATGGGAGCTTCAACACATGGCGTTTCAGCGAGCATAGGAATTATGGGTTGCCCATGGATTTGCCTAGTCTTCGTACTTTACGTTCCTCCTGGCATTGCGTGGCATGAAGCTGCTTTGTCATGAAACAATAATCGACAAATGTTTGGCAGATATGCTTCACCACTTTCACCTTATAGGATCACCATTTAAAGTGAGCTCACGAAGTTCAAAACGGTTTGTTTTTTCATTCCAAACAAAACCAAAACACAGCAATAAATGAAGCCCCAAGTGTGATTTGCCACCCGCAAGCACGAAGACTAGGCAAAGCCATGTCATACCCATAATTCACATGGTCACTATACAATCACAGCGCCAGAGTCGCCTCTAGTTAACTTTAGGAAACTTTACGCCAAGAACAAACACTGGCGTCACTGCTGACGCGGCGATGTGACGACACGGCAAGGACACGCCTGCTTTTCTGCCGTTCACCCTTTCCACTGCCTATTGTGTGCCCGCTCTTCAGCGATACGGTGGCGATTATTGCTTAATTTCGAGATGTAAATCTTTCAAAGTATCAGTTGTAAAGCTCCATAATTACAGCGAAAGTTATTTAAGCTGTAGGAAGTTTTGATTATAGGCAAACTTCTGTCTTAACGGGATACGTTTGTTGTTTTCACTGTGTACTCCAAAAAATGAGTGCAATGAGAATATTCAAAGTGGTTCTAACTTCAGTACAACTAGGCATAGATATTGGGGTTAAAACATTTGTGCCGAAGTATTCCTATTAATATTCGGATGTTTTCAATTCACCAACTGCGTTGTGGGTTGCCATGAAAGTTGCGTCTGCCTTTGCAGATCATATAGGTGATTTGACAAAATGGCACTTTCTCTAACAGGAGACTTCACATGCATCGCTTTGTCATAAACAATCGCTTAATGTATTCAGAAAATTAAACGAAATCATTAGGCTGCACACACAGTGGTTACAGGAATGCTGAGATGTCCGTTTACTCAAATCCTTTTTATGCACAGATTTCTTCTGAGCAGTCACTGAGGATTATGTAGCCGTAAAGGCTAATTTGCGTGAAATGCTGGTCCGAACTACTGCTGCTTCGCAAAGAGTAATGTCAGCTTCAGGTGCAAGCACCGCAGATATTGACATATGAAAAACAAATGCCACGGTCGAAATGAACGTTTTTGAATAGCGCAATCAGCTAGCGACGTATTCCATGTCAACTTCAGGATGGTACAAGTATTTCTGGGCTTCTGGCATGGCCACACTTACGTAGTTTGCTTTTGCATTTCATGAATATTGGATTATGATAATGTTTCTTCTGTCACAAAAATTTTTGATCTCATCATATTTGTGATAAAAAAGAAAGCTTAGTGCACTTTAAATGTACGGTCCTACTTTTTAGATTGACAACGTGAGCATGTCTTAGGCTTAGAAGGTGAGGAGATTAGCCCACACTAACTTTCTAGACCAGGCAGGGATTCGAGGCCCCTTATGCTGCACCTCGCAAATGGCACTGCTGCAGATTTTTCCAACTTTCTAACATGGTGCAGAGCTGGATGTTGAGCCATATTGCAAACAAATATAGCTTCAGTTGCGTTTCTAGGGTTATGAGAGCATGGACAAGGTAAGGGGGAGATTTTTATACAGTAACAGTCTCTTGAATTCCATATTTGCAGTAGTATATGTGGCATTGGTAGGTTACTGGCACTGAGGATGTCTTGAATTGAGTCTACATAATCCCTTCTCAAGCCCTTGGTGTAGTTCAATACTTTGCCACCGTAAGCCTGTTGACTCACGTTCTATGTTTTGCTAGGTGTTTTGTGATGATGTAAACAATTATTTTAGCCATCTTTATTTCTAAGCTTTGAATACCTGTCCAGAAATATGTGTCACTCATGTAATGTCGATCTAAATGCACTAGTAAGCTAAACAGAATTTATTATTATTGCTCAAGAAATTAAGTTGCATTTTTTGATGATGCTGTAGCCTAAACACTGACAAAACTTCAGAAAACTGTTTCAGGGTCCCTTTAAGGTGTGAGGCCAAGTGGAAAAAGCAAGTTTTTTTCTCAAGATATCGTTTTCTGGTTTTTGGTTATGTTAAATGCCCAATGTATTGCCCGTCACTTTGCTGCATAAACCTTCCGTCCGTGTAGTTTTTTTTTCCAAAGGTACAAGCAAAAATGTTCGACCACCCATCACCTATGAAAACGAAACTTAAAGGGCTAATTGGGTGTCAATCATAGGATTAGCTTGGTACATAGTGTTTTGTTGGTTATTTAGCACAAATATCAAGAGGAAATATCTAATAATGCTCTAAAAGTGCTGTCAACACATCATTTTTAGCCATAAAAGTCGGTTTTCTGACCAGGTGAACCGGAACGCAAGACATGTGTTTTTCACGCTCGAGGGCACATATGCGAGCTTGTAAACTATCAAATTTACTTTGTTCAATTATGTGTGTAATTTTAAAAATGGTAACAGAAGCACATCTGATGTTTTTAAGCAAATTGTAGTCAAGCCTGACCTTTATACTGGAAAAGTGTGCCTCTCAAACGATCAGTAATGTAGCATGAGAGCTCCTCATCATGTCACTGTTGCTGCAAAAGAAGCTCGAAAAAAAAAAAAAAAATGAGCTGCTGTTGGAGAAGAGGCACACAATAGTAAGGTCCGCGTTGTAACTGGCGAGAAATATTGAGAATTTTAGCCTTCTCGAGTATCTTGTGTAAGCACTGTACCTGTTTCAAATTTTTTTGTCGATTTTCTCAAAAGCTATATTTTTGACATTTTTCTGTATGCGAATAATCGTAGCTCTTTTGCTAATCACAATTTTTCATTAAAACATTGCCCACTTCCTTATCACAATGTGAGGCGTGCAATGAACCTCAATGAGCAAAGTCGTGCTACAAGATTTAATATGGGTGTCTGTTATACTAAGGTGCCACTAGTGTTAGTGCATACTTTTATGGTTATTTAATTACAGTTGAATCTCATTAATTCAAACATGCATAATTCGAACTTAGGGTTAAGTCGAACTCACGCTGTGGTCCTAACAGACTATGTGTATTCCAATGTGCGAAAACGTCCTGTAATTCGAACGTGCAAGCACTTGCGACGGTTAAAGCGAACATACCGCGCTCCGAAAATGCTTCGAGCACCACGGCCAATTCCGGGACGGCACCTCCGACACCTCAACGCTGCGCGCGAAGAAGGAAAAGAAGAAAAGGAAAGAAAAGGCTACGGTGAAATGTTTGCTCTCCCTCAAATGCCGATATGCGATGCGCCTGTGTCACGCTTCTCTCTTTTCTGTCCTTGCCACATAGAGACGCTTCTTTCAATGCCATGAGCGAAGAGAGCAAGAAAAAAAGCTGCCGTGGAGTGCTGGTTTTTTCTCAAATGCCGATCTGCTCCTCTCCCCGCGTGGAGACTATCCTTCTTTCTCGTCATGCGCTGGCCACGCTCTGGCTGCGGAGCAGAGGGTAGCAGCGGAGACGCAGTCGTTGCCGTCATATTTAGAGAGTGTTCGCGCTGGACTCAGCCGCGCGCTATTCTCTTGCCAGGAGAATGCTTAAGCCAAAGTTAACTTGCTTTGCAAACTGTGTGCAAAATTGATTCATTCGCTGCAAGGCAAACGTGTGCAGACGCGCATCACCGATTACTTCAATTAATGACAGATGTGATTTGTGAATTGTGATTTGTGATTAAATGTAAGTCTTGAAGCTTCTTTCTCATTTGTTAGCTCAACGCACATGCGCCACTGCATGGTGAGCCCTCCGTTCATTTAGCTTTCATTAATTCGAGCTTATTTTAATTTGAACAAATTTTCGGATCCCTTCAAGTTCGAAGTATCAAGATTCGACTGTATTACATTTTTACTATCCATCAAATCTTATTGATTTTAGTTCACTGCACAGGTCAAAGCTTTTTGTATGCGCCCGCAAAAAATGAATATTCTTTAACAAGCGGTACTTGAGTTACGAGTGTAAGCGCAAGGATTCTTTTAACGAAATATTTAATAATGAAAACATAAAATTTGACTTGCTTTATAACGCTCTCATGTGCTTAAAAAGGTGCTTTATATTGCAGACTAATTATTTCTACTGACTATTGCTTCTTAAAAAAGTTTTCTATCACTTGGCCTTGTACCTTAATAGCACTTAAGGAAACCTATTTGTGGCATTACAGAACTGAAGTATGTATGAACTGTGCTCATGAGAAATAGCTTATTGATATGATGCTGGGTGTATAAGGGGTGCTTTTTCCAATAAAATTTTGGTTGTGAGTGCAGCACTTGTCGTGTCTTTTCTTGTTCGTGTATTTGTTTAACGCTGCCCTATACAATTCACTTATTGGTATCATTGCTGTACTCGCTTTTGCAGTGATTTCAGTGAATTGATTGGCACCTTGGGGCTGTACTTTCAAATAAGGGATGATTATGCCAACCTGGTTCTAAAAGAGGTATGTTTGTTTTAATTAAAAAGCAATAATTATCTGTCTGAGCGTGTTGCAATTTATTACTGTGCATACATAACTTGTTTAACTTTGCACATTGGCAGGCTTTTTGCACCTTTCCATCGCTGATGGAAGGTTGCAGTGAAGGAAGCAATAAACAAAGCACATATACCTTTCAGCTTGTTACTCCGCTTCAGTAGTACAGTGTTCACGGTGCTCAGCTGTTGACCTGAAGGTAGTGGGTTCGATCCCAGCCATGGCGGTCGCATTTTGATGGAGGTGAAATTATAGAGGCCTGGTTACCGTGCAACGTTAATGCATTTTAAAGAACACCAGATGGTCAAAATTTCCATTGCCCTCTGCTACGGTGTGCCTAATAATCATATGGTTTGGACATATAAAATCCCATAAATTAGCATTAATATTGCAGCTTATTTGGCATGATTTGGTATGTTAGCTTCCTTTGACCTGGTCTTGCCTGTTCAAAAAAATGTGTGTGTTGCAGTGCCAAGAAACGATGATTTTGCCTTTCTTTCAGTATACAGATAACAAGAGCTTTGCAGAGGATCTCACGGAGGGAAAGTTTTCATTTCCCATTATACATGCTATCCAGAAGCACCCAGAAGACCCTCGGATGATGAGTATCCTTGCTCCGCCAGAGGAAACGTTGGGCCATTGTTGTTTGGCAAGTTGGTCCATAGCTACACAAGTAGCAGCATCACCAGAAAAACATATATCAAGGAGAGCAGGAAGCGATGGTACTAATCTCGTCAGTAACATTAGCCAAGCTTTAAACAGAGGAAGAAATCAATCAATAAGAAAAAAAGTTGTACCACTTTTGAGACATTCAAGTGTGAGAGCCCAGGTTATTTTTTAAAAGACTTTGTTACTTACTGTGTCAGCCCAGTGTTGCTAGGCACTTAGCTATATTGAGGCCTCCCTCCTTTGCATAAAGAGAATGAGAGAGACTATAGCTGTCATGTGGCAACTTTTGGTTGCTTTGTAGTTTAGTCATATCATTAGCCATAGCAAGAGGGGAGGAACCAAGAATGGAAAACAAGTATATTGCAGTTCACAATACATGAAACACCTGCATGTAGTGATGATAAACATCCAGTTATTAAGTAAGGTACAAGGGATTACTGACAATTTTCTCTTCATGTAGAGCAGGGGTCTCAAACATGTGGCCTGCCACTTCATGAGGACTTGCCTTAAGGGGACACTAAAGTCAAACATTAAGTCGATGTTGATTGCTGAAGTAGCAGTCCAGAAACCTCATAGGGCTACTTGTGTGCCAAGGAAGTGCTTATTTTGAAATAATATCGCGTTTTAGTGGCCCGCATCGAGTTACTCCATTTCAAGTCCCTTGTCTGAAAGTGTCCATCTCACGTCACCGTTGCCGTACTCAATGTTCTACGGCTTTACTGTGCGGCCGCCAACACTAGTAGCAGCAGTGTGAAAGTAGCGGGAGTCACAGCCGCAACAACAGCCATTGAACAATTTTCTGCCATGGCTTCCGAGATGGTGGGCATGCTTGGTTCAACAAAGCCCCATTAGATAGAATCACCTGTCCAGTTTAACTAGGTGAAAATGGAACATTTGAACCACCCGTGCCATTTCTCATAGTAGCTTCCGGCAGTTCTTTTTTTTATAAGTGAAACAGAAACAGACAAGCAGCATTTGATTGCACCTCTTAGCATGGAAGGTTTTTTTATTGGAGCAATTTTAATTATAAGCGATTAATTGTAGTTGGTTGCTTGTCCATCATCGGGATAATTTCCAAAATAACCCAGTCATGGGGCCCATCATGTGGTACATTTCATTTAGCCTAATTTCTCGGTAAGTAGATCACTGCTGTTATAATATTGCCTTTTTAGACATAATACATTGAGCTTTCACTCTTACACAAATTGTTATTTGCCTTTAGTGGTCCCTTTAACAAGGAAGTCTAATCGCAAGTTTTGTGACTTTGCTAAATAGCACCCACATTACTTTCTCTCCTATTGCAATTAATAACTCTTTGTTCGTGAAAGCTGCAGAGGTGAATCTATTCTCAAGCATATTTTTTCGTGAGGCTCCTCATACAACCACCATGTGTTAAAACATCGCTGTGGAACAAAAACTATATATTTTGCAAAATTGGCACCTGGTTTTACTCATTGTTGAAAACGGTATCAATATCTTTCTGCGAACTCTGCGTCACATCCTCCTCAGACATGACCCATATATGAGATACAGGAAAGGTATTTTTTCGATTTGCTACATGAGGTAACAATTGAAATCCCCCCCTCCCCCCCTCCCCATCCTCTCCAACCTGCTTCATTGTCCCGTCCCTTGTGGAACTAAGTTTCTTGACTGTGGCCCACTAGTTGAGGTGAGCTTGAGACCCCCGATATAGGGGTTAGTGGGAAGGGTTTACGAGAGATACTGTATATGCTACCTTTAGGTAGCAGAGTTGTGCATACTTTTTTCTGCCATCGCTCATGGCGCTATTTGGCGAGCGCTGTCACGTGGTGCAAAGTGATGTCAAATGTTCCATTTCATGCGGCGAAGTCAACTTTACTTGCACGGCGTGGCGCCCCTGCGCTCTCTGCCCGCACAGATTTCAGCCTCATCGTGACCGCCATTTGGTGTTTCACTTAGTATGTGTACGATTTGCGTTACCATGTTACCGGATAGAATCTGTGCATGCGCAGGTCTTTACAGAACATAAAACATTATGTAACATAAATTACCCGCTGGCTAGGCTTTACGTTTACGGCGCTGTTTCACAAATCCATCTTTGTTCGTAGAATCTCGCAATATCCGCATCGCGGAGACTTCAGGCATCATGTCAAAATAAGCCGAAGTGCGAGCGCCAATAGAGATTACATTGTTTCAACCAGATTACGAAAGCTAAAATGGCTAGAACGTGGAAGCCGCAAACGTGTGAGCCCCTGACAGACTGGATAGGTGGCACCATCTAGCGGTCTTAAAAGGAACCAGGCGATCACAAAATTGTTTTTGGAGAAACATTGCGCATTATACGTCTGGCGTAAGAACCGCACTGCGGTGTTATCACGAATTAGTTATGTTTTTTAATTTTTTTCACCTCACTCAGTTATTTGTTGAGTTTAACTTCCCGAAACCATCATATTTTAAAGAAAGGCGCTGTAGTGTAGGGCTGTGGAAATTTCAACCACCTGGGGTTCATCAACATGCACCTAAATCTAAGCACACAGGCCTCAACCATTTTCGCTACCTATAGAAACATACCGCCTCACTGCAACCGTGCAATTCTGTTCAGCGCATTCGAATAAGTCTGCGGCACGCCACCCGCACCAGACCACCGCGCCGCATTTTTCTCCTGCTTGTGCGATGAGCCGCTTCACTGCACAGTCGTTGAACTTAATGGCGGACCTATGCGCTACTCTGCTCCCATAGGGAGCATACACAGTAACTCTAGGGTTTACTAGTTGCGATCTAGATTGAAAGATAACTAGTAAATAGTTTTGTATAGCTGCATGCAGGAGTGCGAGTACCTTTTTGGGAAGTAACCTGTCTATTGAAGTTTGTCAAACCACAATATGGGTCAGTATATATATTTTTCCTTTCCCTAACTCAATATTTAACCAAGCCATACTGGTATGTGTGAGGGTAGCTGCCTGGGCAAGATGATACATGTACTTACTGTAATTCATAGATCAGACAGGGTGTTCACCATCAAGATGGTGAGCTCCAAGTAGTTGCGGAGAGGTGGTTATTCATTCTTGTCTTCGACTAATTTAGTGGTGTTGCTGCATGTGCTGCATTATCAAACCGCTTCATGACAACAAGCAGCAAGTATTAGTGCTTTTGCTGTGGAAGCCTGCATGTTCTATTTGCTTGATTTTATTATTAAATATTTATGTTGCATCAGGCTGCATTTGTGATGAAGCTTCTGTGAGTAACTGTCATGTACATATGTAAGGATCTTGGCCAAAGTGTGATGCACGCAGTGTGAATGACATGGTGACAGAATTGCATGGGCTTGGCCGTTGTATTCACTGTATGTATTAACGTATTATTTATGCATGCAGCACCGTATTTTTTCTAAGAAGCTAATGTTCAGCTTATCTGCACTAGGTTACAGCATGCTGGTTTTCTTCCACAGTCACAATTAGGTACTCTACGTGATGTCGGGAGCAGTAAGTTGCAACAAATTCTTTTTATATATTGTACATCATAATGAATTTTTTTTTTATGATAACTGACAACTCTTGATGCAAAAAGTGAGCTATGTTGTGCCACTTGACAATAATTTTCATTGACTGCGGTAAAATGCACTGCACAACAAGAAGCAAGTCATGCTATATCACTACAATATTTATACGCATTTTAAAAAAAATTCCAGAACCAAAATAATGGAGCTCGTATTTTTTCAAGTAGCATGCTTATTAAAACAGAAGCTTATGGCTCCTGGTCAGACCGAGCCATAGATTTGGTGTCTGCTTTTTTTCTGTGGTGCATATAGTTTCCGACTTGGAGCCCAGATAGTACCATGAATTTGACCACCATTGGATGCATTTATGGCTACTGTTGAAACTATTTTCCGAAGTGCTGATCCCTCTTGAATTATTTCGTTTTATCGGGAAGTTCGTAAAGTTGAGGGAGATTCTGCACTCCTCTGAAATCTAAAATTTTGGCATAGGGACATCCAAAAGTAACTGCCACATTGTTTTGCTGCCGATCCACTTCTACACATTTGAAAACTTCGCAAGGGTGGCCTTAGGGTGGCCCAGATGTGGAGTCTCCCATGTTGACTGGATATGGGCCGGGCGATGCAGGCCAGGTAGGCACGTCACGTGAAGCTATGACAGGCTGCCAATTTGCGATGACGTGGGAAACGCATTCAGTGATTGTGCAACAACTATACTGCGTGGGAAAGTTGTGAGGGGACCTGCCCTTAGCACCATCTGGTACATAAGAGTGCTACAGACAGCAGAGTCCATTGTTCCATACATGGGCGTGGCATGTAGCCTCTTCTAAATAAACTGCGAAGTCTCTGAATTCAGAATTTCTGAAGCATGAAATTGTCATTAGTACATCTTTTTTCTGCTTTGCTGTGGTAGTAATTGATGTCACTTTCTCTACTTGTCTTGAAAACATTATTGGGCGGGCCTCTTGTTCTTCACTTTCTCTATTTGTGTGAGTGTGTCTTCTTCACCCTCTTCATTCGCTTTCAGTACAGCCTAACTCTATCTCCAAAAATTACATAAAGGTTGCTAGGGCAAACAAGGCATGTATGTGGTATTTAAAAATTTTGGGAATTTTTCTTTGACCCAAACCCTTTCAAAAGACATTGTAAAGAAGCGAACCAAAGACTTGGAAATCAAGAAGTATGCTGTGGATGTCCTTGAAAAGTTGGGATCATTTGCCTACACCAGGGAAATCTTGCAGAAGCTGGATGCAGAGTGAGTTTTGAATTGCCTTTTTGCGAAGTTGTAAAAAAAGCAGTTGCAGTTTTCAATAAACAATTGTATCGGACCAGTTGGTAAGGATCCATCTTGCTAGGAAGCGCAGCCACTATTACAAAGAACGCACTGTGCTTCCTAGCAAGATGCAGTTTTCAGCTTTAGTACTTTTTCTCGCAAAAATTAAAACAGGGTAACGAGCACTTCGAGTTTCATTTTATTGAAACTTACTACACATAAAGTACATAATACTGCTATTCAGACGACAGGTGCTAAAGTACTAATACTAGAAATTGGCAAAGTGTGAATAAAAAAATTGTAATTGACATTAGTTGAACTTATGACACACGCTCAGACAGGGACGAACACAGGACATGGACAAGCGCACTCTTGCCACTAACTTTATTGTTTTTTTTTTTCTGTTTTGGGACTTGCCTTTCTTTGCATAAGATTCAGAATCCGCTTTATTTCCAACACACTTGTTGAAGGTTACTTAGGTTAAAAAAGCTGTACCAGCAGTTTGACGGGACTAGAAGGCCTACAGAAGCCAGCATGTGCAGAGGATTTCACACAGTTGTACACTTCGTAAATAAAAACAAACAGCATTGTACAACAAATATAAAAATCATATACACACAATGAATATTGGAGCACTGTTCCAGTACGATGCTCACAGTGCGAAATATTAGTTCACTTTAAGCAAAAGAAAAGATTGTGGCTTCATAAAGCCATCATGCCCATTTGTTCGAACACATTGAATGCGCTGCCAAAATTAATAATGGTTTTTTTGTGAAGCTGTAAAGTGCTGGTATGCAATATTCTAGTCTGGCTCTACTGTAGTTATTGCATGTATGTAGTACTGGTATGTGCCTGTTACGTATATTGTAGTCGTGAAAGGTGCACTCTTTAAGTTTTGGAAGCTTGTTTCTATGCACATAGAGAGATATTTTATAGTTGTGTAAGCTGGAAGCTTTTCTCAGATTATTTAATAAATAAGGGAGCAGTGGGTTGTAGGCTTGGGTGTGTGTTAAAATATCCAGAGATTCTTAAATTTTCAAAGATTCTTAACACCTTCTCTTAGAGCTCTTATAGTTTATTATAGTTGGTTGTTTTTGTATCGCTGACTAAGAGTGCCATATGAAACACTTGAATCAAAATTCGCATAATATATAGCACTCTTTAGACTTAATGTAGGTCGCCACCTTCAAAAACCCAATATTCTAAAAAAAGTTTTTTGGAATTAACATTTTCACAATTCTTAACTATTCAAGAATACAGTATTGTGGAAGAAAAATGATGAAATTATCTCGAGCCATTCGAAAGTTATGATCATTTTTCCGGTCCTCCCCTTGGATGCACTAAAAATTGAAACTGGAGGTTTCTGATTGCACGCCTGCAATATCATCATTAGTGTTTTTTGTTAGGCATATTAAGGTAGGTCACCACCTTCAAAAAAAAAGTTTTACAGCTTCGGTCCAAAAGTTATAATCATGATTTTATGTTAGGAAACATAAGTTTTGCAGTGATGAAACGGCTTAAAATTGAAGGAAATCAAATTTATAAAAATTGAAATATGGCAAAATATGCGTTCTACGCCAGCAATCAAAACTGCAAAATGATTGGTGCGATTCAAACGTGACTTGGCATGTATGTATTGAGGGCACTACCCTGTGCATCTAACCTTAATGATCACCACATCTCTAAGCTATGCCACGTTATCGCAAAAAGACTGAAAAAGTTGATATTCAGTGATGGTCATTTTTCACACAATTAGCCAGTGCACTAAAAGTTACGGCTTGTTTTCAATAATTATGCTTCTATGCACAGTTCTACATACAAAAAAGTAGTAAAAAAGTTTCATGAGAAAATTTTCATTGAAAAGTGAGTTATCACTGTTCGTGTAAGTGTAGGATGCAAAGACACATGTTTTGAGAAAATCGGCTTTAAAAGTTCGAATCGAATGTTCGCAATATATAAAAGCGGTTAATATCCTTGAAATTCACCAGGATCATTTCTTTGAAGATACGTTGAAGGGTTACAATCTCTTTTTGATTGAGCTGAAGCATATACTTTTTTCTAGCTCGTGTTGCGTCTCCAGCTGACAGTCATTCACGTGTGTCAGAGCAGGTCTAGGCTTAATGCATTAATTTTATAACTTGTGTTGATGCTTCTTTTTGGTCCTATATTTCGCCATATTTTGCGGAGTACTCTTTCTCTCCTAAAGGCCACAACTAAGTCCAAGAGGTGGATGGTAGTGTACAAAAAGCACAGATAGCCGAGCAAGAACGAGCGCAACCTAAACAACAGAGTGCCGTATACGTGTAGTAGACATTCTAAAATAAGTCGACATCATGTACCACGATGTTTAGAATTTACATAGGCAACTAAGCATTACTTAGTATGCCTAACAAAAAACACTAATGACAATATTGCAGGCATTGTGTAATCAGAAACCTGCAGTTTCGAGTTCATCAAGGGGGTGCGGGGGTTTGAAAATTGGTCATAACTTTCGAAGAGCTCGAGATAATTTCTTCATTTTTATTCTTAAATATTCTTGAATAGCCAAGGATTGCGAAACTGTTATTTTCGAAAAACTCATTTTTTAGGAAATTGGGTTTTTGAAGGTAATCACCTATCTTAAGTGATGCTAAGTTGCCTAGGTAAATTGTAAACCTTGTGGGACATGCTATTTTCAATTTATTTTAAAATGTCTACTATACGTATATGGCACTCTGTTGTTTAAGGTGCACTCGTTCTTGCTCGGCTATCTGTGCTTTTTTGTACAGTACCCTCCACCTCTTAGACTTAGTTAACCTCTAGGAGAGAAAGTTATAGCACTCAGCGAAAAATTTCGAAGTATACGACAAAAAAGAAGCATCAACGCAACTTATAAAATTAATATATCAAGCCTGTATCTGCTCTGATGCATGTGAATGAGTGTCAGCTGGAGATTTAACACGAGCTATAAAAAAAGTACATGCTTTAGCTCGCTCAAAAGGAAATTGTAACCCTTCGATATATGTCCGAAGCAACGATCCGGGTGAATTTCAAAGATACTGACCATTTTTCTATAATGTGAACATTCGATTCAAATCTTTAAAGCCGTTTTTCTCGGAAACCTATGTTTTTACATCCTACACTTAAGCGAACATTGATAACTCTCTTTTTAATGGGTATTTTCCCTTGAAACTTTTCTTGCTATATATTTGTATGTAGGACTGTGCATTCAAGCAAAATTATTGAAAACGAGCCGTAACTTTTTGTACATCGGTCAAATGTGTGAGAAATGACAGTGCTGAATAAAATAAACTTTTTCAATCTTTTTGCGATAACTTGCCATAGCTTAGAAATGTGGTGATAGTTGAGGGTAGATACACAAAGTTTTGTCGATCCTTAATATATACATGCCAAGTCGCGTTTGTATCGCGCCAATCATTTTGCAGTTATGATTGTTGGCACAACATGCATATTGTGGCATAATTTAATTTTTATTAATTTTATTTTTTTAATTTTTAGCAGTTTCATCTTGTAAACCTTACGTTTATTATGCCCTACAAGATAAAACCATAATTATAACTTTTGAACTTTTTTTTGGAATTAAAACTTTTTTTGAAGGTGGTGACCTGCTTTAAAGGAACTAATTCTCAAAGTTTGTAGAAGCATCCAATTGGTTGCATAATTCAATTAGCTTGTTGACATACGGGCTCCAAGACATTGGAGAGTTGAGCCCATTTATAATGAACCTAAGCATGATGCAGCATCTGTTTGCTGTATCTCGAAGTTCTTAGTGAATGAAACACAGCTTTAAAGGGCCACTCACCAAGTTTGACAATTTTGAGCTGGCAAGCGCAATGCGTAGATGAGGCGTTCATGAGCACGTCTGCCAAAATTTGCAACGCTGCACGTTGCATAAAAGGGTCAAATTTCAAGATGAACGCTGCTCTCCCTTCTTTTTGCAGGCGCGCACCTAGAGAATGAGGGCATGACGTGCGCGTATGAATGGCCCTACGTACACGGCAATGTAGTGACGTTGGTCCTCGACGTAGATGACCATGCTCTGTTGTTGCCAATAGTGGCACGTGATTGGCGAAAATTATTTAACACAACATGCGTATTAATGTACTTGTTGCTTGAAGAGATGAATAAATCTCTAGATAAATAATGAGACGCAATAACGGAATGTGAGTGTTTTTTTCTTTTTTTTTAAAATTTTTTCCCCGTGAATTGCAACAAGTTGCGGGGCTAATGTGCCGGCATTTCGCATGTGTTCATGTTCCCGAAATTTCGTGGTCAGCGCATCTAGCAGACGACAGCCGTGGAATGCTCCCAAGCGTTCGCTTACTCATTGTGCTCATATATTCCACCGCGTCTAGCCAGCATTTCTAAACCATCCCGCAGAAATGGGCAGTAAACCTCAAAACAACGCTGGTAAAGAAAAAACGCCGCTCGCGTGCACGGGGATTGGGCTTGTTCGGGCATGTCATGCGCACGCGAGGTCTTGGTTGGATACCAGAGAGGGTAGGGAAGAGATTTGGCTTGCGAAGGCTACGGGAAGGAGTGGCAAGGGTTTCGAGCTCGTCTCCTCTCATCCTCGTTTCGTGCCGCTTTGAAAACAGTTTTCTCAGCTCATAACCAACCAATTCGAAAAATTTTTGTGGCAAAATGTTCCTCACCAGACATCCAACAACTTCCACGGTCTAACTAAAATTTGGTATAGGGCCTGGTGAGTGGTCCTTTAAAAATGTGGCAAAAGAAAATGCAATTCTTTTTTTCCAAAAAAGTCTGCAATGCACATGTTTCAAAGAGCAGAAGCCATAAAAATTGTCTTGGAGTTATTTAATGTGGCAGCATGCTCTTCGCCGAGGCCCGTGGCATATACAAGCTGCCTGAGGTGATTAATGTATGCTACAAGCACGCTTGTGGTTGCTGGCGTCACAGTTTCGTTGCTATCGCTATTCGATACTTTCAAATCGCTCTTGCCGTGCGCTTCATTCACAATG